AGTTGTTTGTGCCAGATAAGCTGGTCTGAGAGTCACATAAAGAATGTGTTTGACAAAACTGCTGCAACTGCATGATGCTATCATGTTAGTATGAACCAAAATCTCCGATGATTGTTTCCAGCACCTTGTTGAGTCTATGCCATGAAGTCTATGCCAATTAAGGCAGATCTGAATTCAAATGGGGGTCCAGTCCAGTACTGGCAACATATATCTAACAAATTGACTGTATTTGAAGGAAACTTCTATTAGCGGCAGCCTTTTGTGCTTTTAGAGCAAGTGGTAATTTCCCCGAATCAGGATGAAGCATTAGTATAGTATATTAGTATATTATAGTATATTAGTATATTATAGTATATTAGTATATTATAGTATATTAGTGTATTAGTTCACTGTTCAAAAACCAGCATCATAGTATATGAGTCAGGTAGTGATTTGGTATGAGCAGCAGTATATGCAAACCATAGCTCAGCACTGTCTAAATATTTTTGAACATAATGCCATAAAGATGTTAGACAATGGACAGAATCCAGCAGTGTGACTTTGTACTAAAAGAGTCAGTAGCATTCACATGACTCGAGTCAGACTAGTTTACTACAGCTGTCTCAAACTGCTACATCTGGTTGGTCTCTCTAAAACACATCCTGAGTTGAGATGTTCAGGTCATCTGCACTCAAGTGATATGCAACCCATATGAATTCACACAGCTCCTGATCTTTTTTGGAAACAAGGTTGCATGTATGTGTGTCTGCAATAGGCAGATTGCAAATGATGTGTCCGAGGTATAAATATTTTTTTTTTATTATTTCTTGTTTGTTTGTTTATTTTACTTGTATTTTTTACAGCCAAAAGCTTAGTGGCATCTTTAATGGAAGTGGATCAAGATCAGCGATTGACGGCACAAGAAGCCATAGCCCATGAATGGTAAAGAACCGAAATCAAATGTAAACAGTACTATAAATACAAGTTAAATTATGAAGTTGTTGAATACATTGGCACTGAAGGAAAATCTCTCTTTTGTTACTTATTTTCAGGATTTCTGGCAATGCTGCCTCAGATAAGAACATCAAGGATGGTGTTTGTGCACAAATTGAAAAGAACTTTGCCAAAGCCAAGTGGAAGGTAGTCCTTCATATGAAGTATACATCATTAAATTAATGCTGTAATGTAATTACATAATTAATGTAATGTTTAGTTTATTACATACATTAAATGCATACGTTATATTCAATTGTAGCCCAGGATCCAACTAGCAGGCTATATCTAGTTGTATAAATTGTCTAAAACATATTTCTTTATCCATAAAATGACACTTATTTGACTCTGTTTCTTAGAATAGACACACTTCGATGGTACCTGCTTGCTTTCAAACTGTTGGTTGTAGCATTTAAATAATGCTCACTTGGTACCAAGGGGCCCAAAGTGCCAAGAAAATTACCGCAGACTGTTAAACCACCAACGGCAACCTGAATTGTTGACACAAGGAAGAATGCTTTAATGTTGTTTACACAAAATTATGAACCTACAGTCAAACAGGCAACTTTTTCCTAATCTTCTATTGTCCAATGTTGATAAGCCTTGTGAAAAATGTAGCCTCGGTTTCCTGTTTTTAGCTGAGTGGCGTGGCACATGGTGTGGTCTTCAACTGCTCTGTAGCCCATGTCGTTCAAGTTTTGATGTGCATTCAAGACTTGAGTTACTGGTTCCCAGTGTTGCTCAGTGGATCAGAATCAGAATGACATTTATTCCAAAGTTTTTACACAAATTAGAGATATTTTTTGGTGTCATGGTACAAAAAAAAGGGTTCGACAAATAGAATACAATATGGATTATATGTTTTATATGAGTTATATTACATGATTATATATTATATCTTATATTGTATTATAAATACACACAATATAAATATATATAAAGTACCTACAGGTATTAGAATACATCTTGTATGTAGGTAGAGCACAATGCACAAAAGGATATTGCCTACATGTCTAAATACATGAAGATACTGTCATGTGATTGATTTTTGCATTAATGAGTAGTTGAACAGTTGTGCCTAAGGAAGTGGCTAGTGAAGTTGCCAATTTATATTTATTTAACTTATATGAACTAAATTTTGTTTTCGTTACTCACAGAAAGCTGTTAGAGTGACTACTCTCATGAAGAGACTTCGAGCATCTGAGCAGGGCGATTCTGGGGCCACGGGGGCTCCAGCTGACCCCAACGCACCAAGCGGTGCTCCTGCTCCTCCAGCAGGTGGCAGCGACGGCGTTGCCGCCAACATGAAAGGTGGTTGCAGTGAAAAGGCTCCGGAAACACAGACTGCACTCTCCCTGCTCAGTGCAGCCAGACAGGAAGAGCAGGCAAGGTGCAATGGTGATGTTCCTCAAATGTTGCCACAGAGAAAAGGAGACTAGGCCTCAGTCAAACACGTAAGGAGGAGCAACAATCACATGTGCAGTACAGCCAATAAATCTGGCATCATGATATTGTGTCTTTGCCGTCTAAGTTTACCCCCAGTTTGCAGAATTAATCCACAACTCACTTTCATCGTTTTGCATTATGTAATGATTAGTCTTTTCAATAGTGTTCGCCACTCTCCCTTGTTTTGTTGCAAAGTAGGTCTTCTGTTGTGTTTGTTTTCCTTGAGAACTATAAAAAACTCACAGCGTAGTTTAGTGAAATTAACTCAACTTTATTCATCATGCCACTGTATATAGATATATTTGTCTTTGTTTTGGCAAATTGCTACTTTAGCTTCAGAACTTCAGAATCCTCAGAATCCTGAGTTTATATCTTGTGGCCTAAAATTATGAGTTGGTAATTTAACAATACTAAGGTTTATTTCAAAATAAATATATAGAGTTGTATTTAAAAGTCTCTCCAAAATAGACAGCAACACACCATCTCACAGGAAATTGAATATAAAACTAAAAGTCCAAATAAATATTTTTCAGCCGTCTTAAAGATTTCAAACTTGTACAATATGAGTGGTATTCAAATATTTTATAAGACTGTGTAAAAATACAGTGGATTCAATTTGACACCATGACTACTGCCGCGCAACTTTTGACAACTTAGAATTTTAAGGCAGCAAGAAAGCATATGTTTTAAGTTAAAGTGCCTTAATATTTGTTGCAGTCATGTACGAATATGTTTCAAGAGGAACAACTTGATTACATATGCTTACTAAGTTCATTGAAATGTTTTAGCTGTTTTATTTGCGCCTCCGTTTAGAGTCTTTAGCCGCTGTATTGATAATTGTGTTCCGTCCTCTTTGACACTTCATTTAAAACACTGAAAACTAGATGTAGAGCATTCTGTGTGGAGTGATGTTTTAGTTGTTATTGTGTTGTAACTCGTAGCTAGTAAAACTCAGAGTTTATGGCAGAGTCCATATTCTGTACGACTATGTATATTTGAATTGTATGTGCATACATGTGTATTTTTTTTAATTGTGTGTATTTGGCGACCTTTAGCTGAGCTAACAAGTTGCTACAATGTTTGTGAATGAATAAAATGAGCAATACTCCTGTTGCTGAAACAAGCTGACATTCTTCTGAAGTTGCCCTTCACTTATATGATACAGTATTTGATATTTGATTGTGTTGTTATGTTTTGCTTTGTTTTTCAATTAGTATAAGAATCCATGCCATTTGCCCAATGTCAGACCAGATCATCAATTCCAGTAATATTATACCAAGAAAGTGTATTTAATTAAAAACTGTGATAATTGCTAACACAGAAAATAAACAATAGATGCAACAAATGCAAACACATGCACGTTCATAAAATACCCCAGCCAAAATTTATATTGTTCATTGTGCCTGCTTTAGACTTTAGCATGGGGCTTCTATAATTGTCTGTGGTAAATTGGATTTTCAGTAATTTTTGAAAACTTAACTCAATAGGACACCCAATATGAAAATTATTATTATTATTATTATTATTATTATTATTATTATTATTATTATTATTATCGTTGTTGTTGTTGTTATTATTGTTATTATTATTATTATTATGAGGCACTAGCAAAAAGGAGAGGAGGAGGAACTGTAGGTGGCAGAGTGGAAGATGCTTAAATTTTCATTTGAGGGACAGGATTAGAAATTAGAAAGCGCGTCATAGAGGTAAAAATAGAGAGGGATGGCTGAAATGGTTTGGACATGTGCAGAGGAAGGATAGTGGATCTACTGGACAAAGGTAGTGGAACATGGAACTTCCAGACAGGAGGTAAAAGAGAAAGACCACAGAGAAAGTTTTGGGGTGCAGTGGGAGGAGATCGTCATCATCTTCTTCTTCTTTTTGTTATTATTGTATTTAATAACCGCTGGGTGGCAGCAATTCGCCCTGCATAGGTATAGTATAACAAAAACGAAGAAGACGAGTCTGCGCTGCAGCAGCTGTAGAAGAAGAGCACACGCCTCCATTTTTCGGTAGTTCGTTCAAGCCATCGACGGTCTGAGCGACAAATTCTCGCAGTATCGACTCTCAGCTCGAGGAGCAACCGAGGTGGGTTCCATACACTGAATATACACGTAAAAATACTGAAAAATAAGCCCCGGTGAAGGTTCTGCGCAGTTGGAAGCTTGGAAAACGAAAACGTCCTTTAATCGTTAGCCAAGTTACGTTAGCTTCGATAGCGTCACTCATCACTTACGGTAGACTGACTTTTGTTACAACGGTCTTACAAGTTAAAACACTGTCGCTGATGAAATGATTCGATCGTGTCGTTAAATTCCTTCGCAGTTCAATTAGGACATCATTGTTATTTGTCTATGTTGTGGCGTAGTTTTGTGAGGCCTACCTATGGCTATAATTAGCGAGCCGTTCTTTTGTGGGCCACCATTAGCACTCACGCCACACTGCATGTTTATCCCGTGCAGCCATCTTTTGAAAATCATCTTTGTTTCGGGCTAATAGCGCTCTTCCTGACATATAAATGGACACTTTCATGTGACTGTGCATTCAGAGTTTTCTGATCGTCCTGTTGGGTTTTTTTCCTGTCAAAGCCCAGTAGTTATAATCTTTATTATTAAATGACCGATGTACCATGGGTAGCTTAGATGGTGTGGATAATAATACAAATTGTTTTTTTTTCTCTGCAGATAGGATACTGACTTATAAGAATGTGGGATGGACCAGGGCAAGGACCACGGGGAGGACCACCCTTTCGGTAAACGAGCATCATTTAGTCATAAGCGCATACTGACTTTAAGATGTGCTATTGTGTATTTATTTTTGCCCAATTTCACATGTTTTTATCTGTAATGCTATTTGCAAGCAGTAGGAAATGTATTTGCATATTTTGTAAGATTGCAATCTTGATGTAGTATTTCCTCTGTATATTTTTGTAGGGTCTTTGCCTTACAATTTAAAGCACCTTTAAGCGACTGCTGATGTGATTTGGCACTATCATTAATTTGAAAAAGTTATGCATTACATTTTGCTACCTACGTTGAACCATCAAATGTTTGTATTGATCTGGATAAACATATCCGCTCACTGTCAAATCTGGCTTAAGATTTTCCGTATTCCTATAGAGTAGTGAAGTATGAGGTCCACTCAGCACTACACAATGGGGGACATGTCAGAACCTTTATTAGCAAAAGTCTGTAGAGGCATTTCTCATGTAGACAAAGAACCACAAACAAATACATGTAGATAAGCACACAGACCTCCACTAAATATTCTCACTCAAATCTTTTTCCAAACCTATAAAAACCTCCATGCTAAAGCTCCCCACACACAACAGCTGCTGTGTCATTTGGTGCTGGGACTAACTGGTCCTTCTCAGAAACGATGCAGTTCCCACTCCTAGCCCAACACCAGTTGGTGTAAAACTACAGCTGGTGGTATAAAATATAATCAATCCTATTTTGAAAATGGAAAAGAATAAACATCTTAAGATGATATGAAGGTTATATGTGGTCAGTGATAACTGTAAAGGAAGTGAGGTTAACACAGACATTCATTTTCTGAAATGTAAAAGTTGCTTTAACAAAGTAAATCCTCAGATTTTGTATATTTAAATTTACAAAATCTACATAATGCATATTCTTTCAAAGAATACCTATTCTTAACATGCCGCAACCTAAGGACTTTAAATTACCTATGCACACAGACATGCATGTGATACATTGTATTTTCATGTTGTCAACATAAAGCATAAAACTGTATTAATGTACAGATTATTGTCATGATGTACTATCCAAATAGCTTGATAAATTCTGATGCTTTTGCACTATTGTTTCATGAAACCCATGCTAATAAAGCCTCAGTGAATTCAATTAAACTGAATCATTGGATGTCACTTAGTTCTACCATGCTTGCACCTGTTTTTTGTTTTAAATAATATTTTAATAAATATTAATATATTCCAGTGGTGATCACCGTGGAGAAATGTTTGGGGGCAGAGATCGTCCCATGCCTGACTATAGAGGTAGAGATGGGATGAATATAGGTCATATGGGCCCAAGACCCCTTGATCTGCCGCCTATGGAAATGAGGAGGATGGATGGGCCACCCATGAGGGGGCGTGATATGGACCAACATGATATGCGAGGAAGGGAGCCAAACAGAGAGTTCTTCAGACCTGGAGAAGAGCCTGATTTCAGTCTTCGGCGGCACTATGAAAATTCCATTAGAGACAAACTTATGAATTCTTCAGGTCTCCCTGGGCCCGGCAGGAACGCCGTAGATATGGGAGGCAGGGGTATGCCGCCTCGAGAAACGAACAGGTTTATGGATATGAGGGAGAGAGAACCATTCCATTACGATATGCCACGGTTTAGCAATCCCAATGTTGATGGAAGAAGAGGGTTCCCCATGGATCAAATGGAGCGAAAGGATGGATTTATCGACATGCATGACAGACCACCAATGGGAGAGGCAGGTCGCTATGATATGGACATGGCTACACGTGACAGGAGAATGATGGACACTGACAGGAGAGGAGGGCCGCCTTTCAATGCAAGGGGTGGCTTTGATTCTGATATGGATTTCAGAAATCGTCCCGGACCTTCAGCTGAATTTAGAGGTAGAGATCGATCTCCTTTAAGATTCGGAAATAATGATGTCCCTCCACAAAACAGAGGAAGACCAGACATACCTCCAGATGTCGGTCCTCCTAGGTCAGACTTTATGGGTGCAGTAGACACTATCAGAAAGAGAGAATATTCTGAGCAGAGTAACAGTCCCCTTATGGATTATCGGAGTGGTGAAGAGATGACACTTGCAGAAGAATGGAAGAACCGTCGAAAGGATAGCAACTCTTTCTTCAACAAAGGTATGGGTGGTGTACCTGAACCCAGCTTACCTGTAGGTTTTGGCCGAGATGTGAATATTAGGGATCCACCAGGCTTTAATGAGCGGGATAGACCATCTGTTGACTTTCCACGGAAGGATCTTGGCTTTCCTCGTGGTGATCGCTTTCCTCCCATGGGTCTACCACCAATTGGAAGCAAAGGCCCACAAGATCATCCACTTCCAGAAATAAGTCCCCTTACTGGCCCTCAAGGAAGAGAAAATGAGGGTAAACATTGGCTTGGAGAAAGAGACCCAAAGCATATTCACAATAAATCACATTGTGATGAAAGGCCGCCTTTGGAGAAGAATCATCCTTTACACGAAATTCAGGAGCCAACTGATCGCTTTAAAGAGATGAAGGATATCCCACCAAATCAAGGACCTGGAAGGGGTAAGCTAGGGCCCGAACAGGACTTCCCAAGCAGCAGCACTATACAGGCAAGAGATCAGGACTATAGGGACATTGATTACAGAACAGGCTCTGGAGGGGTTTTTGACTACAAACATGAAGAACTTCAAGCTCCAGAGAAACTCCTTAAAGAGTCTAAACCAATCTCACCTTCAAAGTTTAGCGATTCTGGTTCCAAGGTATGTGTAATTTGTTTTTCCTCACTCGTATTTGTTTAACAATATATTGTATTAATAATATTTGAATATTTTAATGGCTGCTGCCTGAAAGGATCAAGATTACAGGAGTGCATCAATGGAAGACAACGTTTCCAATACTATATCTGTAACTGGTATTCCTAAGACTGCCACAATGGAGCAGGTAATTGAAATAGAAATGCAAATTTGTCTTTTACATTATCTATTTTTTAAACCATACTGTGTTTTTAATTGGCATAGACAGACATGACATAGCTTACTCATTTTGAAATGTTTTGCAGATTCTTGGTGCTTTTGCAGCTCGTGATGGTGTGCCAATGCAGGGGATGAAAATCAAGAAGGTTGTGCCAGGTAAGAATGAAATTTCTTTGTGGAACTGTTTGGGACAGTTTCTCGCTAGTCTGTCCTCCTGACGATTCGCTTTTACGACATTCGAACCTCCGCATTCTTTATTTCTTTACATTCTTGGTTGCTTTTCTTGTTGGTTGTCTCTGGTAACTTGCTCAATGAAAAGAAGCAGGGGGGTGGGGTGTTTCTGCAATCCTTTTTCATGTTTGAGGACCTGGGGTCTTTGCCAGCGCTTAAAAAGACTTAGCAAGATTAAATATTAGCAGCTTTTGGAGAGTGATA